AAGATATGCAAGCATGTTCTGAATCAAGACGTGAAGCTAAGTTCTGAAAGAATGCAAAAGCTAACAAGTCTTGTCAAGCTTCAGGAAACATGTTCTTACAAGTGTTGTTTTCTCATTTAATGCAAAGACGGCTACATGCACTCAAGTGTCTATGCTAGTTCATTGGAAAATGGAATAGTGCAAGAAAACACACAAACATTTAATGCTCTCCACATTTGAAAGCAGCAGCAGTCATTTTGTTCTTACTATATATAGAAGAACATTAATTGCAAGCCAACAACTGAAATACTGAAAGACTCAATAATTTCAAAAGAAGCAAAAGCTACGTGAAAATATTTTGGGCTCACAAATAATTTTCATACACTTTGTACAATTCTATTCTTAGTGAAAAATCACAGTTGTGATATAACTTTCTTAGAAGAAAACTTTGTTTCACTATTTGTAAAGATTTAACTCTTGTAATTGTTCCTTGAGAGACCAAGTTTGGTCAGATTTCTCAAGTAAACTATGACTAGTTTAAGTCTTAGTGGTGTGAGTCACTTGTAAGTTTACTTGTGCATTGTTAGTCACAACAGTTGTTGTATGATTGTAATCAATTGATTATAGTGAATTAAGTCCTTGTTGAGAAAGGCGAAATCACCTTGGCGGGTGGACTGGAGTAGTTTGAGTTCAAACGAACCAGGATAAAAATAACCTTGTATTTCCATTATTGTTGAGCCTTTAAGAAAAAGAAAAAGAGAAACTTATTCAACCCCCCCCCCCCTTCTAAGTGTTTTCTCATCCTTCAGTAATCATCCAAGATTACTTCATCATCCTGCTAAGGTAGTAATCACCCAAGATTCCTTCATCATTCTGCTGAGGTAGTAATCATTCAAGATTCCTTCATCATCCTGCTGAGGTAGTAATCATCCAAGATTCTTTTATCGTCCTGCTGAGGTAGTGATCGCCCAAGATTCCTTCATCATCCTGCTGAGATAGTAATCGTCCAAGATTCCTTCATCATTCTGCTGAGGTAGTAATCACCTAAGATTCCTTCATCATCCTGCTGAGGTAGTAATCGTCCAAGATTCCTTCATCATTCTGCTGAGGTAGTAATCGTCCAAGATTCCTTCATCATCCTACTGAGGTAGTAATCATCCAAGATTCCTTCATCATCCTACTGAGGTAGTAATCGTCCAAGACTCCTTCATCATCTTTTTGGAGTAGTAATCGTCCAAGATTCCTTCATCATCCTTCTGAGATAGTAATCATCCAAGATTCCTTTATCATTCGGCTGAGTTTTCAGATACGGTTCAGATACGCTCCAGATACGGATTTCATCCTGATACTAATTCAGATTCAGCTTTCAAATACAGTACAAATACAATCGCCTTCGGATGGCATCTTTAAGCCCATCTCCAACAACTATCTATCATTTCTCCAAATGGCATATTTAAGCCCATTCCCTATACAATCAACCACAACATCATCGAGTGCAAATTTCTGGGCACTCTAGTGTTCGATCATTTTCCACCTTCAAGTCACGAATAACAGATTTACCAATCTAACTCTTCAGGTGTAAGAAGATTGAACAGAGGCAGCTATTGTACCCCAAAATTTTCCCTCTCATTTCTCAAAGGATCACCCTGGACCCTCAGGTTTGTTTCCATCCAATCCCAAGCCTTGAATTACAAATTTTCCAAGAAAGTCATTCACAAGGGTAAAATGGTCATTTGCGCACTAAAAAGTCAAACCTTGACTTTTGATCAAAATCAAGTTTCAAAGATCATATTTCATCAAGACATGTTGAAATATGAAGTTTGTTTCATCAAGAAATTCAAAAGTCAAAATTGCTTTGGAAAAGTCAAAATTCTAAATATGACAAGCTCGGAACTTCTTATCATATTATCACCATGATGCAAGCTGATTCTAGAAGAACTTCTAACACAAGAGTTGTAGACTTCAACAAGATCTGAAACATTGCAGAACAAAACTTCTCCTGGAAAGGCTAGAATTTCAAGTTATACATCTTCAAAGTCACCTCCATGAAACTGAAGCACTTAGCAAATTCTGGACATTTTCAAGTCAGAAGTTGTCTACAACTTCTGGACCAATTTTCACATAGGTTCAGTCAGAAGTTGTAAGAGCAATTCAAAGAGGACTTACAAATCATGTCACAAGCTTTCTGGAAAGTCTGAGAACTTGCTCAGAACATGCTGGAGCTAAAAGATTAAAGGATCAGAAGTTGGATATTGGTTCTAAGTTGCGCTGATGCTGAACATCTGACCCAAATTTAAGCTAGGATGCATAATCTCATATTGTAGGATTTCTGGTTTCATAAATCTCATCATCATTTAATGCTCACAACCACTTTTGATTTTTTATCCAAAGGATTTCCCCACGTTTGAGAAAGAAGTACCATTGATGTCCTTGAAAAACAAATTTTTGTACAAGGTTATGTTAGGCCCATGCTTTGCTTCTGCCTCTGAGGATACTTTTCCTTAATTCATGCTTACAAATGCAGCTTAGGCACGGTTAAAAGCTGCTAACCATCATACTTGCTTCAAGAACAAGGCAACGCCCTAGCATATGAAGGCTATGTTCAACGCTTCGGTCAGAACATCACCAAATCCCAAAACCTCGTTTATACAACCTGCTACACTGCTACAGCACAGTCCTATAACCAACAGCTAATTCAATCCATGCCTGCATCCCATAATTGCACCAAACTAGCATACAAAAACTGTGATAAAAAAGCAATGGAACAGGATGCCAAAAAAGGTTCAAATCCCATTTGTTCTCCCCCCCCCCCCCCCCAAAAAAAAAAAAACACAACAAATTCACCTATAAATAAGTTGCTTCATCACACTTTCAAGGGGCTGGTTTTTGGAGAGAGAGAATCATCAAAAGAGAGAAAAGAAAACTGTGAAACCTTCGTAAAAATCCAGAATTCCCAAACAGAAAACCAAACCTTTGTTCTTCCCTTTGAATCAAAGAATTTAACATTTTATCTTCCGTTGTTCTTGCTGACCCCAGAACATTTGAAGCCAGCAGTTCAAGTTCCAAGCACATGCTTCAGATTCAAGGTAAGTCTTCCTAACTTGGCATCTTTTCATTCAGAACATCATTAAAATGTGTAAATATCATAGTATTGATGTTTTCCAGATCATTGCATGAGTAGAAAAACTGTGGATCAGAACTTCTCGATTAAGGCTAGGCTCAGAATTAGGATTAGAACTTTTATAATTTGTTGTGCTTTTATCCTTTTGATTTTCTATTTGTTAAGAACTGAATAAATTGCTGATGTGCTGATTAATATGAGGAAAGAATTGAAATGTGGCACAGAACTTCTGATTTACACTAACGGTTTTAGCACAACACAGAACTTCTGAGTTCTCCTCACTATTTTAACATACAGAAATTCTCAATTTTCCTCTTTCTCAATCTCTCTCTAAATTGTTTATTTTTCTCTCACATATTTTTAGCCACGGTGTTTTGAAAATGTTCTTGGGTTTAGTGAGAAAATTGTTATGGGTGAAGGGCATTATTGTAAATTTACCAAGAGTTCTTTTTCCTCTTGGATAAATGATTACTCTGTAGGAAGTAGTCACTTTGGTTTAGAGTTAAACAAGTGTAAAAGCTGTTAGAGATTAGTATAAGTCTTTGTTTGGTTTATGAGCTCTGCCATTAAAGAAAATTCTCATTTTGGGTTCGTGAAAAATAACAAGAGAAAAATTTTCACAATGTTTCTTATATCAGCCCGGTTATATGCTCAATTGGTTAGAGATTAGTCTGGTATAAAATTTCACTTGGTTTCTGAGTTGAGTCTGTGTAAAAGTTCGGTAGATTCGAGATCAACCCGGTTAAAATCTCGATTTAGTTCATGGTTAGCCCGTACAAAATCTCAGTTTGATTCAAAGGATAGACAACTCAAAATTTCAACTTAGTTCGAGATAAGCCTGTGCAAAATATCAATTTGACTTTGAGACTAACTGCTCGAAGTTCTGCTTGTTTTTTAGAGTGAAGACTAACTATTTCATTCTTTTATTCATTGTTTGGTTGAAAGTTAGCCTGAAACTTCATTTTTCTTGTATAAGGAGATTCGTGTGCTTAATCTTCTAAGAGATCTTAAGTATTATTTGATACTCTCAAAATCAATTCTTAAGGAGAGGAGTAGGTCACTTCATTAATGTTAAATCTCTATAAATCTCTAGTGTTATCTTTATTCTATTAACTTTTTTACTTCCACTTATTATTTTATCCTTGTCGGTTAGATATCCAAAAAAAATTAAAAAAAAAAATATTTCCAAACTCTGACTTAAAAGATAATTTTATTTTAAACTATCTTTTTTTAAACCTCCACAATTCACCTTTCTTTTATGTATAGAGTCACATGTTCAACACAATTGACTTTAAATTTATCTATTTCAAAAGTAGTTTTGGTTTTCTTATTTTAGAATCTTTGAGTTCTTTTTTAATCTCTTTAATTTTTTATGATTTAGTGTTATTAATGATAAAAATGTAATGACAACTCTCAAACCCTGAACGCTCCAATGAACTCCGCCAAAATTTCATCTCATGGTGATCGAGTATGAGAAGTTGAATTATGTGAATGTTGCTCAGTTTCACATCAAGATTCTCAACTCATTCACGTCCTACTAATTTTATATCATTAATGATAATGCTATATAATCAAAAATGGTAGAAATAAAAAAAACTTGTTTAAGTGAGAAATATAGATACAAATAAGCAAATATAGAAATAGAATTCCAGCAAAACTTTTCACAGAAACAAGTAGGCCAGTGATTAAAAGAAATTATTCACTCAGAAGATCAGAAACTATGAAACAACAAACAAATAACAAACTTCTAATAACTGTTCCAGGTCGAAAACTAGTTCACAGAAGCCACGAATTTCCAATTGATTGAAAACCGCAAATAAAATTAAATTCCAAATCTAACACATTTTCGTATATGGTAGAGATAAGTACCACCACCACTAGCACTGTTTCCGAAAGATGTTTATGTCAATAATCGCTTGATGCCGGTCTTCTGTTCAGATGTAAGTCTAGACGGAAACTTTACGTTGAACTTGATTCTCAAGTTTCCCTTTTTGGAAGGTTCTTTAGGAATTGGCATACCCTCTCCTTTGATAACTTCTTCGTACGATGGACTGATAATCGTGTTGACGGGGACCGTAAGATTCCTTCCGTCAAGGGTTGTTATTTGCGCTGTGTAACCTGTCAGAGCTTCTACAAGAGAGATCTTCTGAGTCACAACAAGATCGTTGCCGTCCCTCTTGAAGACGCCATGAGGCTTCTCGTCGATGATAAAAACAAGGTCTGCAGGAATAAGTCCTTTTTGTTCATTTCCCTTTTCGGGAAATGTTATTTTTGTTCCTTTCTTCCAACCTGGCTTGATCTCAATGGTTAGAATTTCCTCTACTGTAGTAGGCCTCCTGCAGAATAAGAAAAAATCAAGAAATATGCATAGAAATTCGACAAAATTTTATGTTAACTGTTGACTGTTGACTGTCTAATCTGAGTTTGGGACCGGCTATGCATGTTTACTAAAGAAATATGCATAGCATTTAAATACGTCTAATTGGTAAAGTTTCAAACTTTTGCATAAGTTTGGTTGAAGTTTCAAATTTTAGCTAAAACATGTCTTATTGCACAACACATTCTAAATAGTCACATCACAACTAACTAGTTTGAATGAATATTGCGAATGGTAAAATGAAACTTTTTTTTAATAGTTTTGAATGAAATCACGACGATGAAGGTTGGTCAACTACTGCGTTAAGGACGCAGATGCCAGCAAATTAAGATTTCTTTTTTAATGAAACAGCATATAGAAAGGTAATGTCTACAACCATTTGAGAACTTCAATTATCAAAACTATATATACATCAAAGATTTCAAGTTTCAGATCATTGCAAAACTTGTCATTTAGAAGTGTAAATTGCTTATTAGGAGGATATAAAACAGCACATGTACACAATGAGCATAAAAATGATCATGGATCGATAACACTGAAGCACCGAATAGACACAAACACCGGATACAACACTTACGATAATTAGAAATGGAAGAAATTGAATGTTTACATGTGTTGAACACTGCCATGTCTTGGACACTAGACACTCTTTTAAACATCATTTTCATCAATACCTATGTTGTCAATAGTGGACTATAGCGGAGCGGTGGTAGGGTTCGGCACGAAACATTTGGCCCTTGGCCCACAATCCACCGTCAACAATAGCGGGTGTAGCGGCTGCTATAGCAGCCCCAAACCGCTATCGCAACCGCAATTAGAGTTTGGGACGAAATTTCTCAAACACCTTTTTCAAGCACTTGTCTTTTTAAGGGTATATGTGCCAATTCAGACCCTTTTAAGAGTAAAGTTGTGTTCTTCATTCTATTATGTTCTTAATAAGTAACAGTGTTGTAAAAAAAATCGCCATGGCGGTTTTTGGGCTTGCAGCAATGGTAAATACCGGCCGATATTGCAGGTTTTTCCACAATAATCCGCTATAACAGCGCTGCAAAGCAGCCGGAATGGCGGGATTTTGGTTATCTGCCACGGATCACCATCTGCCATCGACAACACTGCTAAGTAACAATCGTTATGTTCTTCCTACTTTTGGTTCAGTTCTACTATGGTTTTCTTCTCTGTTTAAGTTTTTTTGCTATGTACTATAGGTTATTTAACTATTAAGTATGAAAGTCTCTTACATTTGTGTATTTATGTTGCACACTGATTTATAGTCTTTACTAGCGGCTATCCTTCTATCCGCTATAGCATTTTAGGGGGGTCGGTGCTACGCGATACTATCTGATATTAACATAGATCAACACATAACAAAAGAGAGTCGTCAAACCCGACTTTGAATTCATAATTTTAAATCTGTGCAATAAAAGCAACGCAGCTAGGTTAATATAGGCAAAAATTGAAAGCTCACCCACTAGAATCAGAAACATCCCTAGAAATCTTCATTTTCTTGGTGGTCCCTTTATACAAATCCTCCAAACCGCAAGGCAGTGTTCTCTCTATTGGTGCACTTTTTCTCGGCACATTGCCAGATCCTTCACCAGTTGTTGCATTCCTTAAAGAAGAGAAAATGTCATCCCTAAACATCCCCCTCGGAAAGCCGGAAGTACCAGGATGACCACCCATACCACCCATATCACCCATTCCACCAAACGGTTTTGCAAACCCGAAAAACTCTGAAAATATGTCATCAGGACTTCTCGGATTGAACCGGAACGTCGTCGGCCCACCATCACTGGCTTCTGAAAATCCACCTGCACCAGGAGGAGGCATCTGCCCCTTCAATCCCTCCTCACCATACTGATCATACACAGCTCTCTTTTGTGGATCACTCAAAACCTATTCAAAAATCAAATCATTAGCAAAAACCAACGATTCCAAAATGATTCTAACTCACAAGAAAACACAAAATCAATCACTAGCAAAAACCGACGATTCCAAAATTATCCTAAATCACAAGAAAACAACAATTAAACACCTCAACATTTCAAATTTGTAACCCCAAAACACCCCCACAATCCCAAATAATCACAATAAACAAAATCAAACAACCCATCATTCCAAATTGCACCCACATAATCCCAAATGATTCTAAATCACAAGAAAAACACAAAATCAAACACCCCATCATTCCAAATTGCACCCCCTAATCCCAAATGATTCTAAATCACAAGAATAACACAAAATCAAACACCCCATCATTCCAAAATGCACCCCCATAATCCCAAATGATTCTAAATCAAATCAAAAACACAAAATCAAACACCCCGTCATTCAAAACCATAACCCTAAAACCCCAAATCTCCAAACAATTCAAAATCACCATAAAAACACAAACTTTACCACACCCAAAACCCCAAAAATCAAAACTTTTCACAACCCAACAACATTACATAAACTACACCTAGAAAACACAAATTGGGATTACATAAAAAGAAAAAAACATACATCATAAGCTTCTGAGATTTGCTTGAATTTGGCCTCAGCATCTTTTTTGTTGTTAGGGTTCTTATCAGGATGCCATTTCATAGCAAGTTTGCGATAAGCTTTCTTGAGATCATCCTCTTTGGCATTACGATCTACCTGAAGGACTTTATAGTAATCAACACCCATAGCTTGTTTCCCCGATTTGGTTTTGTTATCGGAGAGAAGGAACGATGTGAGTCACCGGTGAAAAAATAATGAAGTGAAAGAAAAACAATATCCAAATAATGGATACAAATATATCTGGGCTCAACAAAAACACACAAACATGTACTTTTGATGTCAACATGGGATTAGGATTAGGCCCAACTTTATCTATCATGTTTCAATTGTTGTTTCATGTTTTTTCTTTACTCAAAATAAGAAATTTGTTTAATTATTTATGTGAATCTCTAAAATATTTGGAAATTTAAATATTTCAATGAACTAAAAAAAGAGGTTATAGATGTTTTTTGAATTTGATATAATTTGAATTTATGTCCTTGTTAAACTTAAAAGTGTGTTAATCTTTTATTGAAAAGATAAAGGGTTATTAACTTTTGAATAATTTATTATTAAATTTCTAAAATTAAGAAATTCAATATTTTTTATTTAAAAGTTCAAAAACTTTATCTATTATTGTCAAAAGAAAGGAGTTTAATCTATGACTGAAATTTAAGATTGAAAAATTCTCAAACAATTTCAAAATCCTTTTTTATAGTTTCCTCGTCCCCCTTCATTCTTTAGCGGTGAATTCTCTGTTCGTATTGGGCATTCTTCTTTTTCAATATTCTCTGTCTTCCTCCTCTTTAATCTCCTTTTGAATGAGCATCGTTTGTTTTCCCCTTTTTGGGAGGATCGTCTTTTTTTGTCTTCGGTGGAGTTTTTTTCGCTTAGACCTTCTGGTTTTTCTCCACCTTCAATTTCCTGGCTAAGTTGTTATCTTGTTAGTTTCCTTTGTGCACTCTATCGTCGGCGACCCCTTTGCTGGATTTTGCTCCTTTTTGTTTGTTTTCCTTCAAGGGATCCAAGTAGGGCTTCCTTTTTATTTAACTCGTGGAACCTTCTTTCTTTGGGTTTTTTTTGTGTCGGCTGAGACAACATGACAAAACACACTCACACTGACCTCGAAAAAAGACCAAGAAACAGTTTGAAGATGGTAATGATAAGCCTCAATTGTAACACCCTTCTAAACCCCAAAGAATATTAGTAAAATAATACAATAATCAAATCAGAGTAATGCACCAAAAGAGTGTCACATTGCTTCAAACAAACTTCATAGTAAAACACATTCTGCTCCGTAACATGGGTTTTCAAAAATCAATTACATTAAGTACTTCATGATTAACAATCATAGTTTTTCAACTAGCTCGCAGCGAAAATTCATAATTTACAACATCTCTATTAAGATACTTCTAAACAACTTCATCAAGTCAAAACAACTCAAATACCACAATGGTAGTTCAAATCTCAAAATAAACAAAGTAACATGGTTATTCAAAGCAAACAATCTCATCACTGATGTTACATATCAGAGCAAGATCCCTTTATTCTATAGGAAATAAAGAACACACTTTGTAACTATCCTTTAAACATCGGTGGACTATTCTTGATTACCTGCAAGTTACCCACGTAAAGAGACAATATTTCCAAGCAGCAAGGGTGAGTAAATCGCAATCATTATAAAAGACATAAGGAGTAAATAAGTAGTTATAATACAACACTAAGGAAAACACCACATCATTGAAACGTCATGTCATACTCACACTTCCCGACATCATAATACACATCATACACGTGGTAGTAGCATCAATTAGAAATCATCACAAACACACATGCACAAAATATCATTCAGCAAAATCATCATGCAATGCTACATATAATGTGATGCAACTTTGTTAGATTCATGCATGTGGTACCAAAACTTCACTGATGACACTATCATCGTTTCTCCAAAGATCTCCGCGAATAGGATCAATTCCCGCTTGGAATCATAGCACATCACCAATTGCACTCAATCCACAATATGGGGTTGAGGCCATCACTGGACTATTCATCCTACAAAATTCATTGGAACAACGTCCTACAACCATCACTGGGTTATGCCATGAATGCATGATGTGAAACATCTTAATAACCAAATGACTGCTGCTAGTCAAAACGCATCATCATTCATATAATCATCATAATATTAACACACTACATAATGCAAAACAACATCATCATAGCATTGATAATTCATCGTATACACATACATTATACCAAAACAACCACTGAATCATCTTATTCATCAAAGCATAGGTACTGAAAAATATATCATATGACTCTTTTTATTCCACCCAAATATAGTTCATTGCGTTAGTTTCCTAACGCTTCGAATGGCGTGTCAATCGGAGTCCCGAAACTCAAGTTACGACACTTTTTAAAATGCTATTATTGTCCATCTCCTAGTGCCTTCCCGGCGAAGCAGGATGCTTGATTGAGGCTCTTCTAACGATGATGGAGCGACAGAACCATCATTCCTTTCTGATCTCCATCATCCAATGACACATATTGCTCGCTCAGCGCTCTCGTCTTGCTTCTGCGTCTCCCGATAATGCTCAAGCGACAGACCACCCTCATACAGAAATCCAGGGGCTATGTTTTTCACCCCATTCACATCGCTTCTTATTCGCCTGGCGCTGTTGGAGTGAGACTCCATTGCTTGATGACACACATCCATCGACCCTAAACCCTAAACCCTAAAACATCTCCTGGAGTGAGGCTCCATCACCTGGCGACACACATCCATCGATTGGCGCTGCAGCGTGAGCAAGACTTCACTGTTGCGATTTCTGCATTGCACAGTCCTAATTTCTACACAATTTTTTCAGAGTACATGTCTCAATTCATCATAGATTCTCTTAGTTTTATCATATAACAACAACACATCATATTATACATCATATGCATCAATTCTTTGTAAGAAAATATCATAATTTCAGCAATTTTCATCAAATAACCACTTAACGTCATCACCCCAAAACCCTAACGCAACCTACAATTATCTAAACCTTAGATCAATTATAATAACAACGATAAACCCCCTTACCTTATATTTCTCCTAGAAATTAATTTCTCTTCGTGTTCTATCAAATCCATCTGAGTTCTTTCATGCCCTAGCTCTCTTTACAGCGTTCTTCTCTTTTCACGATTGCACAGAATGAGACTCCCTTCCCTTTATTCCTTGTTTAACCTTTGGATCCTTTCTATGGTCTTCCCATCTTACCTTCATGTATCTATTTACAATTTACCACTTTGTCCCTAACATCTTTACATCATATTTTATCTCTATTTAACTAATTAAAATAATTCCAACTAATCATTTTAATTATCTAAATTATTCTAAAATACTATATACCTTCTTAATTTATACCACCCTGTCATACACCACACAGAATATCATATCAAGCATCATAATCTTCCATATATCATATAAACATCACAATTAAGGCACAATTGCCCAATGTAAATTAATCGAATAATTAAATAAGTAATTTAATTATTTTGGGGTATTACATCAATCACCCTCTCTTCATCTCTATATCCCTTCGCAACAAACCAACTAGTATCAAAATACATAGGAGCATCTCAAAAACAAGAACACATAACACAAACAAACAAAAGAAGAAGATTCAGATTATTGCATATGGGTTGATAATGACACACACTACTACAAATAACGCATGTAATATCGGACGCGAAATGCATTTTATCTCGGTATCGGAAGCGAGGTAAATAAGGTCGTCATGAAAAGTAAAGACTTATCACCTCGTTGTTTAAAATACCGAGGGGTGTTTTACTAGCGCATGGATTCAATCTCCAACATCTGCATTTTTATTATTTACAATAATAACGCTTCATGTGTTTCGGTTTTTAATAAAACCAAGGGGCAAAATAGTAGTATTTTTTTAATATTTAAACTGGTTACATTGTTTACATGGAAAATTAATAAAACATTTTATTTACAAAATACAATGTTAATCCAGAATATTAAACTAGTTACATTGTTTACACATAATATCAATACAAAATTTAATTTTTCTATGAAGAACCATATGTTGGATCTTGAAATCCTTGATATCCTGGGAAGATCAAATGCTGGAAACAATATATTTTCTATTGCTTTGTATTGAATTTGTTTCTGATATTAACAAAAAAAAGAGTTAGATGAAAAAAGGGATAAATAAATATTTAAGAACACAAACATTAAACGAAAATAATTTTCTGCTTCTGCAATCCATCATAGAGAACACTTCATAACAAAGACTCTTGTGCATCTTAAAGCGGAGGATAGTTTCAAGCGCTTCATATGATGTTCTATTATCAATTTTTGATATTCATAATGTTTTTGTAATGGAAGTTAACTTAGGTTTCACGCGGATCACTAATGGAAGTATTTTTACCCTTGATAGTCATGAAATGGACGACAGAGATTTAATTAAGGGCGGTGACAAATATCATCAACTTTAACGCTAAAATATCTCCTCAGTTATGAGAAAAACTGAGGTGCAAACATTTTTTTTAATTACATTATTTATAAAGAATATCAGAAACACAATATATTACAACAAATTCCCACTACTCAAGGCTTACTGAATTTAACAAAAGCATAGCTTTTATTCAGCCAAGTTCTACAAATTAATAGTAAACCACACAAAATCATCAATCATCATTATTTTTAACGTATAAACACTGAATATTCTCGAGAAAGAATTTGGTAGTGTTCCTGAAATCTATTGGCAAGTAGACAACATTAAAGGAGAAAGTGTTTTCAACAACAGATCTTTGGTGGAATCCAAATTTTGTTACATACCTTTATGTTGGAAATCCAAAAAAAAAACACATAACTTATCCATCTTCGGATAAGTTATTTTAATTTATGCACTTACAATCCATCTCTAAGATCTGTTCTTAAGCGTATCTAGTTCAAAAAAATTCACGGCAATGGACAGTAGTAAATATTTCATGTATCTAGTGCGGCTAGAATTAGGGTAAAATCTGATAAACTAAGGTATTTATATTAAAAGCTGACTACTTTACCCCTCGTATTTAACTTATAACCGAGGTATACTATATTATCTATCACCTCGGCTTTATGGAAAAATCGA